TAATGGATTTGTTTTCGGAACGGTGTTCTCCACTCGCGGACCCTCGTCGACAATGGTCTCATTGTCAGAGGTCAATTGTCAAACGGCATAATGGCGAGGACTCGGAAGGACTCTGGCGCGGTCATTGTATATTCATCTTCCTACTGGCGACTCCCGCTGTTCCGCATGGACCGCGGATTATCCAGATGGCCAATAAACGGTTTCTTTCTACTCCGCTTCACCCGTTATGTTTTCCATACCTTCTCTTAACAATGGCCGATGTTCACCTCTCGCCGTGCAATTATTTTATAGTAACCCTTTTATCTGAAAGCTAATTCCGTAATGAAGGAAATTCTGTATAAAAATATAAAATTCTTCTCTTAATGGGCAAACGTCTAAAAGATAGATCATATAAAAAGTAAGTAAAACAGAAGATAATTTGTAATTTTGTTTTTATCGATAGCATTCAATAGGCCCTATAAACATCAGTGAATAACTAACCAAACGTTTCCCAAATACACGCACCATCTGCACTCATCTCAAAAATATAGATATCATAAATTTTACAGTAATGTACATTTTTATTCAGCTAACGTTCATTGGGAACGCATGGGTAAAAAATATTGTTCATTTCTTGAAAACAAAAACACAAAAATAAAACTTAAAAAAATATACTAAAGGAAAAAATATTTAAGACTTCCAAAGCAAAGCATTATCTTCATATAAGCATTAGCAAAGCATTATGGTAATATATTCTCTTAAATGTAAAATTCAGCACAAAAAAAAAAATGCAGTATCTAGAATGCAAAGATGGCGCATCACACATCAACAGTTAGAACGGTCAGACACTTTTGAAGATTAGTTTTCCTTTTTACTTTCATTTAGCTATATATGAAACATATAGTATTGAATTGCAATCGTGAAAATTTTCTAATCTTAGTTTTCAACGGAAATACACGTTTTGAGGTCCCCTGAGTCCAAATAACAGAGTCCCTCAAAATGTTCTGTGTGTGTTTTAACAGTCTAGCTCAAAAACGAAAATTCGTACGAAAATGAAATTGCGTATTTAAGGTTTCTATATGCATGGGATGCTTACATTCATAGGGTGCGGTAAAATACTTGCTTACCTACATCTAGGTCTTAGCTATCCATTTGGATTTTCTTAATTGATTTTAGTTTACATATTCCCTTCATTCATGTAGAATAATTCTTATTAATTTTTGTAATTAAAAATATTGGGGAGGAGAGGAGTGAAACGATATTCTGACAACCTCTCTATTTTTATTTAGCCAGCGACTGCCTTCTCCAAATTTTGTGCCTATTCTTGAGTTACTAAAACAGCGATTTTTGATAAACAACCTTATTTTGGTTATTCATTTTTAGTAAATTTATGAAATAATATTTTATAAAAATATTACTAAGTTGTGAGAAAACGTAAAATAAATCAATAAAAAATCTAATTAAAACAGCTTTACTTACTTTCATTATCTCTGTTAGTTCATTATATCAGACACATTTTCGTTTGTATTTCCTAAATAAACTCATATCCCTAAGGTATAGTTTAGACAGCTCCATAACCGATGCGATTTGTGTTTCGTTTGGTCGTGTAAGTCGTCATGTTAGTGCAATGTTCGAAAGGCTTATTATTTTTTCTCCTTTTCTGAATGAGCGGAGATGACATTCAGTTGGCCGACGATACATCATGCGAAAGGCGACAAAGACAGAGATGAGGAAGCTCGCTCCGAGGATATTTTGGCCTGCAGCCCGTGGGCCGTACGTCACTCCGAGCCAATTACTCAACTCATATAGAACTCGCTCACTTCATTAGTCTCCACCGCTCCGTAATTATATCTCAAACATTTTAATCCACTTCTCTGTAATCTTCTTCATTTGCCACTCTATTAGTAATGGACTCCCGAGGAAGTCTTCATATGTTTAGTCCATGTTATTTTATGAAGGAAGTTACATTGGTTATTTTATTTATTTTTTTAAATATGTGAAACTCTACAATTTGTTGATTTATTTTTATGAAAACGTTAATATTATGAATAAAAATATTTAGTTGGTCACCTGATACAACCAAAATCAATACCATGGGTGATAAATATTCAGGAGGCAGTCATAAAAAAAAAAATTTTTTTTTTTTTTTTTTCTTTATTGAGTATTATAACAATCTGTCTGTTGGACATTGGTTATAGTGAGGTAGGATGACATTCACACTATATGTACAAAAAAAATAAAATAAATGGAACAAAATAATAATCAAAAGTATATACAATAGACAATAAAATAAAATAACCTAAAAAATAAGAAAATTAAAACTAAGAAAGAAAAAAAACACATGCATACCTATATACAATCAGGCAAGGGAACTCCAGGAGAACCCTGCGCTACTCTCCCAACCGCGTCACTGGTACAAAAGCCAGCGGAGATTGGTCGAGAGCACTTTAGCCACATACACTCATGTCTTGAGTGAAGAATCTGGCCATTGCCAGAACTCCAATTTATACAAACTACAAAAGGTCGCGAGGCCACTGCCGTTTCAACCTTCTTGGAGGATTATAGGGATGGCAGGTGCTTGATAGGGATTGTGCAAGAGGATTTGGGTGGTAAGTAAGGTTCTGGTGAAATTTGGAGAATTTTTCTGGGATAAGGTCTAGGACAAATGGGATGTTGAGGTCATGATGTAGGGTTTTGTTGGTTACATAGAAAGGAGCATCGACTTTTGTTCGAAGAACTTTAGACTGGAAGGATTGGATGCGCTTGATGTTAGAAAATTTTGCTGATCCCCACAGTTCTAGTCCGTAAGTCCAAATAGGTTTCAGTATTGTCTTGTAGATCAGTAGCTTGTTTTCAATGGAAAGTTTAGATTTTCTGCTTAGTAGTCGGTATAGTTGGCCGTATCGTCGCTTCGGCGGTACATATACTAAAATTGGAACGAAAAAAAAAAATTAAATTTTTTATTTGAACCAACGTTTCAACACAAATATGTGGGTCGTCTTCAGGGCTGAAAATTTTAAAATACAATCAGAGATATAATACTATACGACTGATAATGGTAAATAATAAACTATAATGATTTGATGGTCCATGAGTCTTAACTATCATTACAATACACAATATTGAAATATGTAAACAGTTATACAAACTAAAAATAATATATATAATCTATTTATAACAATTTGTAATACTTTCTCTTACTAATCGTGGTTATGAAAATATAATTCATACTTCTATTATGATTAATTCATAATTTTTTTAAATATTTTTTTCAAAAGACTGCATCCTGAATATTTACCACCCATGATATGTAGGACATTCGACTAGCTTCCTTCAATAATTAAAATCGATACGTTTATTATCACCTTATATTATACATTTTTGAAAAAGTATTTTCTTTATAAATAAATAGTATAATTTCATAATTAATTTATTACAACCTATTCCAAGTCAGAGAAAAAAAATCTGGTGTTTCCACTCACTCGACTTTCCTACCTACTTCAAAAAAGTTTTATATCTTTAAATATGTCTATTACTGAAGAAAAAAAATTGAATTAGATTTATTTTCCTAAAAAATGATAAAAGAAAATATTTCGGTGCGATTTCTTTGATAAACTAAAGCAATATAACCGGCTTGTGGAAGGTCAGTGTTAAAAATTCATACGCTCTAATTTTGCTCAATACTTTTTGCCATAGACCAATTTTGTCTGACAATAATTCCTGTTAAAAATAGAGGAAATAGTAAACCTTATGTGATACGGACACTAGATTAAAAGTAATTGAAAAATTACTTTTCTATTTTCTCTCTCCCCTTTCCGGCACCGAGATTTGAACCTATTATCTTACATAAAATTGAATAGCTGTATCTTCGTTAATAGTTGAAATAAACAATTTTTATATGCTTCAATAGGCAATTTAGTTACCTTCCAAAAGTTTGTACATAAATTTTACCATAGAATATATATTTAGCGAGTTAGGCCCAAAACATTTTTCTTTTATTTATAACTTGTTTTCCTGAATTTTCTCCATAATTCAGTGCATGTACGAAAATTAAAAGGGAATTAATAATAAAACTAAAGGAAAGTTTCATAAAAATCGTTAGAGCCGTTTTTGCATTACAGTCAATAGAAAAATATGTTTTTTACTTATCGCGCAACCGCTGTAGCGCAGGGATCACCCAGCTTGTGTCACAGGCATCAATTGTCAAAACCCTACAAAACAAAAAAATCAGCAACAAAATCGGTCTACTAGTTCCCGAGATAATCTTGACACTGACCTATGTCTGAAAATGTGGACTTTTTTGGACTATGAAACGGAGGCTCTGAAACGTACAGTTCCTTGGATAATCGCATATAGGAAATTTGACCCGATCGCAATACTTTTCTTGCCTAGTATAAATAAATTAAAGCTTTACAGTGATTCATCCTTGTTATTTTTATACATGTATATATACTCTGCGGCGACGGAATTCCAAATCACATTTTTTACAAAACTAAAGGAGAATCTCATCTTACTCTGTAGCCAACCTCAACTCAATTAATGTGCTTATTGAACAAGAAAGGTTTTTAAAAGTGGAATAACTCTAGTCCAGTTATAGAATGATGAACAAAATTGCCAATAATCCATGGTTTTATGAATAATAGAGCTTAGCGTAGTTTAGTCGCTTAAATGTCTCTTTTAAATGGTTTTAATATTGACACCACTGGCTTTAACACCTGTGGTGCGGTTGAGGGGGTAGCGTAGGGATCTCTTGGGATCCTGCTTTTCCTTCTATAGTTGGAAGGAGAAGCCTGGCTTGGAGTTCCCTGCCTGATTGTATATATTGTATATAGGTATGGCTGTGTTTTATGTTTCTAATTTACTTATCTTTAGATTATTTTATTTTTATTGTACATAGTTTACTTCGTTCCATTTAATCTGATACTTCTGGTTTTATTACAGAAAAGCAATTATATAAAAATATGGCTTACGGAGCTTTGCAGATATATTATAGTTTTTATAACAATTTAGTCATTCCATGTGTTATATCTCAGTTTTTAACACCTTAAATCTTAACCTAAATTTACTCCCATTTTAAAATCTGTTCATAATCTTTTTTTAAACTAATAATTTTGCACCGTATCGTTTTTATGATGTTCAGTTTATATTGTTCAAGAAGGGTTGACACTTTACTTTAAACAAAGACTAGAACTTTTTTTATTTAAATCTTTACCTGAAGATATCCAGGTATGGTGTTAGTAATTAGATTAGCGGTGTAATAAGCCATACGATTCCATTTGAATATAACAATAAAATAATTTTATATTACATGAAATATCAATCACTTGAGCAACTGCAGTTATTCCAAAAAATTACATTAAATTTTTATAAAAAATATTAATTCTTTAACTTCTACAACTGGAATTTACTTTTTGCTATTACAGTCATATGTTTTTTTTAAATTGTTGAATGTATAGAAGTGATTTTTATATAGTTTAATAAATTTTCTATTTTTTTGTTTTGTTTAAAAGAGATTTAATTAAGTTTACAGTTAGTAGCAATTTCTGGCAGACTTGTCGATAAATTTCGGTTCAAAATGAAACGCAAACCTCGTTCAATTTTGATATATCTCTTCTACCATGACGATTTATCATGATATTTTTTTTAACTTTTGGCTTTATTTCATCAATTACCAAACCAAAGGAATTCTGATGAATATTTACTTATTTAATTGAGTTTTATACAATATATAAGTATTAGTTACCTTACAATCTTTTGTTTTAGGTAGTTAAAATTAAACCACACATATATATTGAACGATTTAAAACGGAAATATGAATAAAAAATCTACCTTGTCACCAGATTCTAGCATAACTTTTATACCTGCTGATCATTTTTATGGTGAAATAGAAAATGTTTTTACCACTCCAACTACTGCGAGTGAGGCTTCGGGCGATGCCGAACAAATGGAACTCGAAGAAGATTTGCTGACGTGTTGTATTAATAAAGAACGATTTTTATCTGTTCTCTACTCTTTAAAAGACAAAAAGTTAGATATCTTGTTACCGTATTTGAAACTGTTGCATTTATTCAAAAAGCAGAAAGAATCTTTGTGTATTGGAAATTTAATCGAAACTCCCAGAGAAAAAACGCCGACGGAAAGCAAAGAATCAGAGACACCCCAAGATATGTCTCTACCGAAATACTTCGACTGGGATTTTCCGGAATCATGCGATGGCCTGTCAATGGAACCTGTTGTCTCGGAGCTGGAGGAAGAACAAGAAATGATCCTTATAGATGATCTTCTGAACATACTGGTAGGTTACGATGGGAAGTATATCAAGGCAAACATGGTCAAAGACATGAAACAAAAGAGAACATTCAGAATCAGTTCGCACATCATACCGTCATTCAGAGGACTCGTAGAGAAGATTCTTCCCGTCGCCTCGGCCTATTCTATCTTAGTCAGGTTCATCAACGAAAACACGTCCTTCCCAGCCGGCAAGGTCAACCAGGCCTTAGCAGCGTCACTCTCTGACGAACTCTTGGAATATATGAATAACGTACTTAATCTGGAGTTCATGAAAGAATCGCAAGGCTTGAACCTCCACGTGGCGTGGTGTGCACTGCAGGAAATCACCAAAAAGATGAGAATCATGGCTAAAATTGTCGATTATATTAACAAAGAAAACGCCAAGGGCGCTGCCAGCCTCAACATATTACATCGTTGTACTTCCAACGCTTTGGCAGACCCAGAAGCCGAAAAGATTTGTCTCAAGCTTACGAAGGCAGCTTGTGTTCCCTATTTTGAAACAATAGAGAAGTGGATATACAAAGGACAGATAAACGACCCGTTCGACGAATTCATGGTCTTAAAAAGGGCAGAGAAAGGCAAAGTAAACTTGAATTGGGAAAACAAGTTCGAACTAAGACCTAAATGTGTACCCTCGTTTTTAAAACATGACGACAAGCTAATGTTCAACGCCGGCCGGTACATGTATGCCATCCATAGAAGTTTATCAGCTTTGGAAAAACCTCCTTGCGCTGAGATGGAACACATACAATATGAAAACATTGAATTGGTTTACCTCAACATGATAAGAAGAGGTTACGACTTTGCTAACGAGACCCTTCTCGCTATGCTGGAAGACGAATCTATGATTTCTTGGCTAAGAACCGCCAAGTCTTTTTTCAGTTTAGAATATGATGATGTATTTTACAATATTATGTTTAACTGTAATGACGAATTGAAAAAACCTTCGTATATTATCTCGGTTTCTTATCTCCAGGAACTAGTGGAAAACTGTATTCGAAGTTGTTCTTTGGGGGCTTTGCCTTTCGCAACTGAATACTCTGTCAAATTGGAAAAGTGCTCATTGATGTGTCAAATGAAAACCTTCAACATGCAGGGAGCGAAGGAAGCCGTCGAGAACCTAAATGGCCTCGAAGCGTTGACCTTCGCGACGAGCCCTCCATGGCCGGTCTGCATCATATTCAACTCCAAGACGTTAACTGGCTACCAGATGCTTTTCAGGCACATATTTTATATGAAGTACGTCTATATGAAACTGACTTCGACCCGACTGGCAGAGGTGCCCAAAACTGTTCACCTCTTGAAGTATTCCATGACAGTCTTCGTTCAAACATGTTTGTCGTACATGACGGTGGACACAATACAGACCCTATGGGACAAATTCGAGAACGAATATAGGTGCGTCGATAGCGTTATCGAATTGGTCCAACTCCACAATAACTACATGTACCAAACCCTAATGGGCTGCATGTTGGCTTCTTCCGATGTCTTTCAATACTTGCATGCTACCCTCGGGATCTGCCTGACGTTCTGCGTGAACTTGGATTTTAAAATTGAAAGAGATTTCAAGAAGTGCTTAGTTATCCTTATTAAAGCAGCTTCGAGAGAAGCGTGCTGGACTTCCTTCATCAAAGCCTTGATCCCTACATTCACAGACATTCCCGAGTTAATGGAGCTGGATAATTTGTGTCTCTATTGATTATATATAATAAATTTGATAGCATCAAATAGCATTATACTTCGTTGAATACTATCTCATTTGCGGGTCATCGTTATTTATTTAGTTTGATATTAAAAGTGGACATCTCCATTTCCGTATTTGTTTGCGATGTGATAGCAATACCTAATTTTTCCACTATTTGAAGATGTGTGAGTGGAACGACCAGACCTTAACGAAATCCCAGTTTCAGTCAAAGTTGAAATGTCCACTTTTGTTTGCAAACCTCAAATCACTAAATTAAACTTTGTAAATCATTCGTTGCATACTCCTTAAAAAATAATTCAATTAAAAAAAAATCTAAGGGAAATGTATTTGCATATCTACTTAAACATATTAGTGGGTTATTAGATTATTTGACGTATATAATAATGAAACTTGGTTAAGTAGTCCGAGATACCAGCTGGACATTTCAATAATGTTTTTCAAAAATTAATCTAATCTACATCTTTCGTTTAAATTAAAATTTAAGTTCAATCGAATATTTAACTTATTTTTGTTTATGTTGGCATTACAGACCTTGTAGATCTTTTGCCAACTTAACAAGAATACTCCATCTCTGCCAATATTGGGCTATTTATTTGATCTTATCTCTATAACAGCTTTGTTGATTCTATCAATCCATCTGCTTTTTGGCTTTCCACGTGATCTTTTATCTTCTATGGAGGTATTCATTGTTATTCAGATGGAGCCATTTCTCCGATTTACATGCACGACCCCTCTTAACCTCCGTGCCTTCCTATCATGAGATATTGATTGACCTGTTTCTGTAGGCAGCTCTTTATTTGTCTTTTTTTGCTATGTGCTAGAACTCTGATCCCAGATCGCTCCGGACATAGTGCGTATGATTTCTCTCTCAAATCTTTCAATATTTTAATATTTTTTCCAAGAGTGCTTGTTAGCGTCCAGGTCTCTTATTTAACCCACTATAGGACGTAATTCTCCATAATTGTTTTTTTCATGAGAATATATTATTTAGAGTAAAATGAAACGTTTTTTGATTGTTGGTTATAGTCCGTGGTACAGACCCCTTTTTATCTAATTATTAACATCCTCCTGAAACTTCGTAAATAGTTTCATCTCTTCTTAACTTACAACTATTTTATCTACGAAAAATCTTGCAATTGGGGCGTTTTCAATCTGGACGGGGACAAACTTTGTCTATTTAATTAAGTATTAAAAACTTGTAAATACACATTTGCTTTCTACTTGTATGATAATAAAATTTGATTACAAAATAGATAAAAAAGATGGCCTACAAAAATGTTGTTGTGTTTGTCCTATATAACCTCGTTATTTTGAAATTTTTGGGGTTTAGGTCACGCCCAACGGCTTAATATTTTTGAAGGCCATCCTTTTTCTCGATTTTGTGATAAAATTATCTTACGAATCAAGTAGAAAGCAAATGTGTATTTACGAGTTTTAGTACTTAATTAAATAGACAAAGTTTGCCCCCCTCCAGATTGAAAATGTCCCAATTTCAAGAGTTTTCTTAAATAAAACAGTTGTTGGTTACGATGAGATTAAACTATTTATGAAGTTTCAGGTAGATGTTAATAATTCGATAAAAAGGGGTCTGTACCACGAACTATTACAGCTATAGTTAAAAAAAAATATCCGAAAATAAATTACACAATAAGTTTGGATATCCGAATTTCTTTTGTTCTTGTTTTAAAAATCTTTTGAAAATAATTTATTTATTATATGATACTTAAAAGATAATATCAACAGCATTATAATTGAGTAGCAAAATATTTTTATTATTTATTATTTAAAAACATCTTGTGTCAGATTTTGTGCCATTAAGTGTCCAACTTTTGAAGAAATTTCTTAAAATTATAACTTTAAATCCTTTGAAATATTTTGAAAACAGGCTATGATATACATACTTCAAAACCTAAAGAACATGGTTCATTTTTCTTTGGTTCATCATGAAAATTTGAAATTTCGGTTAAAGTTGCGACATTTCCCTTACCCGTCTCACTGTACAGCTGTTGGAATACATAGGGTGTGTATTCCAATACCTGGACAGCCCTAGTCCGACACAATATTAATTGGACTGATCGCTAGAAACCGAAGAATATATCTGTCATGTTATTGTATTATATCGATAAATATAGGTCAGCCATTGCCTTCCCACAATGGAGGATTTGTCAGCATTGTTGTGAGGCCTACAACTGTAGCTGTTATGGACTTAAAGGTCCCGCTAATACGAGAATGGCACATCTGTTGTAAGCTTCTAAGCCTCGAAATCCGCTCACGATTTTAAACGGATTATAGATTTAACATGGAATGTGCTACGACCCAACAGCTCAATACTGAATGCGGGCATGTTTCGTGATTCAGAACCTATCCTGTGTCGTAGTAAATAGCGCAGAGAACGTGATCAAGATGTCCATGAGAAGAGGATCTTAGATTTCACTCGGTAATCTAGAATTGCAATTGTCAAGGCCCGGATTTATATGGAAATGAATTTTTCTGTTTTCAAATATATAAGTTTTTTTTTTTTTTTTCTTACCCTCCAAAATGTTTATTGAAACAATTACATATATAGTATACAATAATACAATATATACATGCAATAAATTCCTTCCACTGCCCGAGGGCATTATATATAAGTCAATATCTTTATTCACTTACATTGCTACAGTGGAGTTTCAACTCTATTGGAAGGGAGTTGACCTTAACATGAACATGACATTTTACAATACCCTCATATTATAATTTCAATTATAAACAACATGGTAGGTCATTAATTATCAATGCATCACTTTTGAAGGAGTGTAATTACTTTTTTTGTAATATTACTTTTCCTCTTATATTAGAATATCAAGGAGAAACTACACAAACAAAGATAATAAAATTAAGGATATTGAAACAAAAGCAGAGAGAAAACTTTCTTTTTTCCCGATATATCGATCAACTATCGAAGTAGTCTGAAAACTGGCTAAAAACAAACGGTATATTTTTATTAGTTCATTGGGCTCATTCAAAGAAAAAAGCGTAGACGAAAACATTTTTCTTTCAATTTTATAAAATTGGGGTAAAACATTACGTCGAACTTAATGATATATTGAATATTGTTCTAAAATATGGTATACATTTTCGTTTACATATTTATTGAATGGTTTTTGCTGGATATATATCCGTACAATGGTAATGCCATTATTTAAAAAAATATTTATTATCGAATAATAGATTATTTAAGTATAAGGACGGATCGAGATGAAATATTGTATCTATGTTGTGACCTTGGTTTGAACTAACTTAATACAATAACATAAGTTGGCACGCAGCATATTTAGCATAAACAAATGGCTTATTATTATTAAAATTCGAATTAGTTCCATCGGCTGTCCTTGGTCGGGGTGATTGTTTATTCATACTCCAACTTAATACAGCTTGTGATTTTTAATCTATTTGTATGACATTTTTTTTTGCTTGCGTCAATGCGCTGTTTTTTTTTAAAGTATATTATCTTTGGCATAATTGGCCTTTCTAATCATTAATATATTATTTTATTACTGCCGTGTTCATTATACGAATTTCTCATCATTATATTATTATGTGTTATAATGAAAGCTTTTTTTTTTGTCTTAAGTTCTTCATCCACACCTGTCATGGTAGTGGCAATTAGCAGATTTGTTGTTAGGTAGAAAATGGCATGATAGGCATGACGAAGAATGCAACCCAGCAGCACCTCTTCTCTGGTCTATTTACATCCCAAAATCAGGAAAGGAGATTTCTCATCCAGCTCCTTTTCAGTCGCCTCCTGATGAGCATTTCAGCCGTGGCCATGTCGTTGATAAGTCCATTGTGACGTCCGTGTAGTTTAAGATGAAATCGGGAGTTGAGTACGTATGTGCTGGTCAATGATTGGTTGTCTTAGGTCGGTATGTAAGTAAAGTCTTGTTGTTGACATACTAATAACTAGCTGCAGTTATTATTCTTAAAATTTTAGAGTGAAAAGATTGTAGTTTTATAAGTGAGTCTTTTTAGCTGAACCGTAAATCTGTGAGGCGTATGTCCAAATGGGTTTGAGTAGGTAAGTCTATGTATTTAGTTTTTTTCTAATTTTCAATAAAGTTAAGAGAGAGAAATAAATGTCATAATACCGAGATATAATAATAAAATTATAACAAAAAGTAAAATTTTTTTTTATTTGCTTACCGACTTTAAAGAACTTTGATCACCAGAACCAATCTTCTCCATTTTTGCTTTTCTTGCATTATTGCTTTGCAGTTTGCTTCATGTAATTTAGCAGCATATTTTTTTATTCTTTTTATTATCTGTGTTTTGGCTTCCTGTGCATGGTCTTTTGCTTACTCTTGTGGCAGTCATTGTTCTATTGAAGTTTTCCGATGGTGTTTTTCGAGCTATAAACCAATCAGTTTCTGTTAGCAGTTCTTTATTGGCCCTAATCCTCTATAAAAAAAAAACAAAAAAAAAAAGACACCTGTGCCACTACAACTCATGAAGAGTGCTGGGTTCAGTACTTATTGCAAGTAAGGAAATAGTGTTTCATGGCCAACAGTTGTGCGGGAGGTGATCGGGTGGGGATCACGTTCAACCACCAGGTATGCCTCCTAAATTGATTATCTTAATTATGAGTATCCACTTTATAGAGACCGGGTGTGTTCCAGGAGGGTTTCCCGACCCCAGGATCCCATGCTCGATCCGCGGCTGATGAAAAATTACTATTCATCAGCCGGATTAGAAACCCCAATCTTGACCTTTGGAAATCAGTGCCTACCCACAGTAGTCATTAGTGTTGCTTAAAATCGGTCTTGTTCTTGCACTTTGTAAGACCAAGACTAAGACCGTCTAATTGGTGCAGGACTAATAATTGTTGCAAGACCTGAATTAAGAACAATTAAGCAATTGTTGTGAATAAAATTAAGGAAAAATAGTTAGTAATACTAGACACTTTTAGTTACTATAAGAATTGGTAGAACCAATATACTTTTGTATTTAACTCTTCCAATTTTTCATTCGGTGTTTGATTAGGTTTCCT